TTACATCTACAGTACTTTGACATGTAGATCAACAACATTGGAGCATGTAACGCTGATTACATAGTGTATGAATGTTGGATATGACAATATTACATCTACATTCCGTTGACATGTAGATCAACAACATTGGAGCATGTAACGCTGATTACATAGTGTATGAATGTAGGATATGACAATATTACATCTACAGTACTTTGACATGTAGATCAAGAACAATGGAGCATGTAACGCTGATTACATAGTGTATGAATGTGGGATATGACAATATTACATCTACAGTACTTTGACATGTAGATCAAGAACATTGGAACACGTAACGCTGATTACATAGTGTATGAATGTGGGATATGACAATATTACATCTACATTCCGTTGACATGTAGATCAAGAACAATGGAGCATGTAACGCTGATTACATAGTGTATGAATGTGGGATAAGACAATATTACATCTACAGTACTTTGACATGTAGATCAACAACATTGGAGCATGTAACGCTGATTACATAGTGTATGAATGTGGGATATGACAATATTACGTCTACATTCCGTTGACATATAGATCAAGAACAATGGAGCATGTAACGCTGATTACATAGTGTATGAATGTGGGATATGACAATATTACATCTACAGTACGTTGACATGTAGATCAACAACATTGGAACACGTAACGCTGATTACATAGTGTATGAATGTGGGATATGACAATATTACATCTACATTCCGTTGACATGTAGATCAAGAACAATGGAGCATGTAACGCTGATTACATAGTGTATGAATGTGGGATATGACAATATTACATCTACAGTACCTTGACATGTAGATCAACAACATTGGAACACGTAACGCTGATTACATAGTGTATGAATGTGGGATATGACAATATTACATCTACAGTACTTTGACATGTAGATCAAGAACAATGGAGCATGTAACGCTGATTACATAGTGTATGAATGTGGGATATGACAATATTACATCTACAGTACGTTGACATGTAGATCAAGAACAATGGAGCATGTAACGCTGATTACATAGTGTATGAATGTGGGATATGACAATATTACATCTACATTCCGTTGACATGTAGATCAACAACAATGGAGCATGTAACGCTGATTACATAGTGTATGAATGTGGGATATGACAATATTACATCTACAGTACTTTGACATGTAGATCAACAACATTGAAGCATGTAACGCTGATTACATAGTGTATGAATGTGGGATATGACAATATTACATCTACATTCCGTTGACATGTAGATCAACAACAATGGAACACGTAACGCTGATTACATGGTGTATGAATGTGGGATATGACAATATTACATCTACATTCCGTTGACATGTAGATCAACAACAATGGAACACGTAACGCTGATTACATAGTGTATGAATGTGGGATATGACAATATTACATCTACATTCCGTTGACATGTAGATCAAGAACAATGGAGCATGTAACGCTGATTACATAGTGTATGAATGTGGGATATGACAATATTACATCTACATTCCGTTGACATGTAGATCAACAACAATGGAGCATGTAACGCTGATTACATAGTATATGAATGTGGGATGTGACAATATTACATCTACATTCCGTTGACATGTAGAACAACAACAATGGAGCATGTAACGCTGATTACATAGTGTATGAATGTGGGATATGACAATATTACATCTACATTCTGTTGACATGTAGATCAACAACAATGGAGCATGTAACGCTGATTACATAGTGTATGAATGTGGGATATGACAATATTACATCTACATTCCGTTGACATGTAGATCAAGAACAATGGAGCATGTAACGCTGATTACATAGTGTATGAATGTGGGATATGACAATATTACATCTACATTCCGTTGACATGTAGATCAACAACATTGAAGCAGGTAACGCTGATTACATAGTGTATGAGTGTAGGATAAGACAATATTACATCTACATTCCGTTGACATGTAGATCAACAACATTGGAGCATGTAACGCTGATTACATAGTGTATGAGTGTAGGATAAGACAATATTACATCTACATTCCGTTGACATGTAGATCAACAACATTGGAGCATGTAACGCTGATTACATAGTGTATGAGTGTAGGATAAGACAATATTACATCTACATTCCGTTGACATGTAGATCAACAACATTGGAGCATGTAACGCTGATCACATAGTGTATGAATGTGGGATGTGACAATATTACATCTACATTCCGTTGACATGTAGATCAACAACATTGGAGCATGTAACGCTGATTACATAGTGTATGAGTGTAGGATAAGACAATATTACATCTACATTCCGTTGACATGTAGATCAACAACATTGGAGCATGTAACGCTGATTACATAGTGTATGAGTGTAGGATAAGACAATATTACATCTACATTCCGTTGACATGTAGATCAACAACATTGGAGCATGTAACGCTGATTACATAGTGTATGAATGTAGGATATGACAATATTACATCTACAGTACCTTGACATGTAGATCAACAACATTGGAGCATGTAACGCTGATTACATAGTGTATGAATGTGGGATATGACAATATTACATCTACATTCCGTTGACATGTAGATCAACAACATTGGAGCATGTAACGCTGATTACATAGTGTATGAATGTGGGATATGACAATATTACATCTACATTCCGTTGACATGTATATCAACAACATTGGAGCATGTAACGCTGATTACATAGTGTATGAATGTAGGATATGACAATATTACATCTACAGTACGTTGACATGTAGATCAACAACATTGGAGCATGTAACGCTGATTACATAGTGTATGAATGTGGGATATGACAATATTACATCTACAGTACGTGTGTGTGTGTGTGTGTGTGTGTGTGTGTGTGTGTGTGTGTGTGTGTGTGTGTGTGTGTGTGTGTGTGTGTGTGTGTGTGTGTGTGTGTGTGTGTGTGTGTGTGTGGACTATTGCTGATCGTGCACGGTTCAAAGGGAGACTACCCAGTCAGTTTCATGTACCCCCCATACTGGAACCGAGTTGTGCACTGACACAGGTTTCATCAATCACATGTGTGACACGGTCAAAATGTGTGAAAAAACTATCGCACTATACCTTGCACGGTGTAGCAGAGACTTCTCCGTCAGGTTCCCGTTCACTACCTTGACAGTTGTCAGCTCATTTACAACACATGCTGGGTGCGGGTTACACCCTTACAAAGAGATCGAACCGACTCATTCATGACCAACTCGTGTCACTCCGAGACTTCAGCTGAATGGGATTCCTGCCCCTCTTTTCTAGAAAGGTTGTGTTTGAATGGGCAATTAAAGTGTGTATGATTTATTTCAGTTGCAGCAAGCCCTAACACAGACAGCCAGTCGACTTTATCGGGTTTCACAAGTTTCACAAGTTTTTAATATATCACTCTCCAAGGGGGACAACTCCGACCCCCCCCCCCCCTTTAAGACTCCGGCACATATGAGCGACTTATAGGTGATCAAACTGGATTTATATCTTCAGCGGTCTGATATTACAAGGTACTGTATTTCTGCTATGATCGGAAGTGACCTGACCATTTCAGGTTATGAAAAACTACATCAAAACAAAATAATGATGAAGTTATGAGGTTTCGCACTTATAGTCTTCAATATGTCTTGAAACATCACATAACTTCATTTCCAAATTCCATTTCTCAAATTCAGCTCCCATTCGCTAAGATCTTCGTAGATTCCGCTTAATTAGGCAATTCAGAAAACTAGACACGTTTGTGTTGTCTCGGCAAGCTCACCGTTATCACCGTTTGACAGGGGATAAGTAGAATCGCTGAAGAAGGAATCCAAGTAGGTCTAGTTATTTGTAGTGCCAGGGTCCATGGGTGCCTTTGACATTAGCCATTTTCTCAGCGATAGAGTGAAGCTAACATTTGTTATTTCATGTAAATATTAAAAGATAGGTGCCCATAAAAACGCTTTAGTTAAACCGCAAACAACGCCACGGCTGAAGGAAAATCAACGTCAGACATTTTAATGTTCATCGAAACACAATACCATGCCTTTGGAGACATTATATACAGCAGGACAACACTCGTGACTTGCAACAGGACGCTCGTGTACGTGTGACAACCATATTATGTTGGTGCATCTACGGCATCGATACCAAACTGCCACATTGACAGCTCGGACAATTCCTGGGTTAAGACCTATTAGAGGCAGAACCGTACACAGCCGTTTGAGGGAGAACAAGCGTACTTCCATGTCACAGTCAGGTATGCCTAGATTGGTCCGGACAGCATTTGAGGTTCAGAAGACAAGACTGAGACAGTATGCTGTTCACAGATAATTTCAGGTTTCATCTGCAAGGGTCTACAGGTGTCCAGAATAGGGAACGTTTTAGCGACGCTTGAGTCGTCAGTTTATGGGTGAATTGAAATGATATGGGGTAGCATCACAACTCATGGGAGAATACAACTCATCATTGTTAATGGCAACTGGGAGGACATCGTTCAAGATCATATTCTACCCTTAGTGCAAATGCAGGGACGTAACGTAACGTGGTAGCAAGATAATATCCACCCACATGTTGCACTTGTTGCAACTTATTGAGGCAGAATAACCTGGCTGTACTGCCATGGCCGACTCCCCGACAGAGTATGTCTAGGTTTATAGGGATCGATGCCTTCGACAGGACCAGTACCATAACTAGCCTGTAAAGCTAGCTCTGTTTGGCCATCTATGGTTCACATTAGAACAACATCCCCCATTCTGTTTTCAATCATCTGGTGTCAGTTTGCTGATTTCTTTTACACATTTACACATTTCACTCAATTTCTGACATAAAATTGTTTGCAGCACTAGTCCCATTTACATTATCCAAAAGTCAAACTCACCCCTTCCTTTTTTGATCAATGACAAATGCGTTTGATGATTTGACCTTTTGCCTATGATTCATTGCTGCACCGTTCCCAATGGGCAATAGATTGAAATGAAGACGAAAAATATATCTGTAATTGTTTTATTCATGCTAAAGCAGTAAAGACATAAGTTCGACAATACAACATCATGCAAATATGTATTGAATCATTTGTTGAAAACATGCAGTCAATTTGAGCAAATGAAGAAAATGTCATACATGTATGTATCAGAAAATGCATCTGTGAAGGCATCACATGTTCTGTAAGTCATGGTCGTCAATAACAACCAGAAGTCACAGAGGACCTCAGTAGGTTGGACAACTGATGCTATTGCCCAGAAAGTACTTGAGTAAGGTGAGGATTTGTGAGGCAAATGTTTCAATACAAAAATACCATGCAATACATGTATCTGAAAGGCATAATAACATACACAATTAACTTTAGGGTTATTCATAATGTTACAAATTCGATTAAAAAAGTAACCTGTAATAGGCTGGATAAAAAAAAAATTCTTCTAAAACACAGTCGATGGGTTTAAAAACCCACAAAGAAGAAGTTATGGAACTCCGTAAAGCATCACTATATGAAGTCAATGTGTTCATAATGGTTTGTTGGCGATGAACCTATGTTGTCTGACACATATCCACATTGAACACTCATCTCGTTCTGTAAGTACAATAAATGATGAAATCATGTTATGAAATACATAAAGTAATAGGGAATGTACTGGAGCTATATGTTTTATCACAGATCGTCTAAGTGACATTTTAATCATCCTTTTGTTCTCCAAATGGGGTAAATCTCATAAACGGCGATGAAAAGCAGGTCAAAGCGGCCTCAAGTAAGAATGGAGTAAAAAGTTAAGGTAGAAACGGTCACAGAAAAAGTCCCAACGGCCACATAAATAAGAAAGACAACAAACTCCTGGAAGTCTCACAGCGCCAGGTTGCTGCCTCAAAGTACATATTAACGGACTTGACTCATACCTATGGTAACTGCCTCCGTGGTCTAGTGGTAGAGCGTCCGGAAGGTCTGGGGTTCGATCCCAGGCCGTGTCATACCAAAAGACGTTAAAAGATGGTACTTGTTGTTACCCTGTCTGGTGCTCGGCATAAGGGGGCTAAAACAAGGACTGGTCGGCACGGAGTCAGTACTGTGTCTGAGTGGGGTATTCATGTTAAACTGCGGCATGGTATCTTAGTGAGCTAGCACTATAAATCGGCATCAGTCCGGACTAGTACAAGCAGCCACACACACACATGTGCATGCACGTCACAATATAAGTGCAATAATCTTGGACGTGTCGTTAAACCCAATATCACCTCACCATACCTATGGTTTTACATTATATCCTAGGGATTTTATATTTACATCTTCTGGTGGTATTGCGATCTGTGAATGTCTCTCGCTTGATATTAATTTGGCATTTGAACACAACCCAGACACGGAAATGTGCGGAATAATGTCACATCAAATGACAAATAGTTACTGTATATTTCAGTAGATCGACCTTGCAACTGTCTGTAGTTTAGTGGTTCACGCACCAGGCTACAGAGGCGCTGATAAGTCACAATGCTTTAACGAATATCTTTTGCAAGTACGCCAGGACGCCAGAAAGAGATTTTTTTACGCTCGTTTCCAAAGGTTCATGGAAAGTATGATTTAATATATACAATTGTTGATAAATGTTGTTTCAGATTTATTTGTCTGTTTATAAGTCGGATAAAACATATCCGAGGGTTTTTATGAAATTAAGAACCCGAATCCGAATGGTAAAATATATGGTATAAAATTCCTTGTAGAATAATGTCTCCTAAATTATTGATGTTTAAACATATCAGCTTTGAATGTTCCTTTTTTTGTAATTATAGCCTGAATGTTTGTGTGGCATAAGGGAGACAACTCTTCCACACTATTCACTTTCCTTTAATACCATATGCGACTGCAAGGGTACATTTCCCGCGCTGATTTGTCAAGCTGGAGACATGTGCTTCGTATTGTTGACAATTACTATCACTGGTAATCTGACTTTCCAAAGCAACAGGCACGTGACTGTTTTCAGTCAACTTGGCACCTAGGTAGTGCAGTAGTGTGTGGTCTGTTACACACTAAATGCACTTAATGACAATTCTGTTACGTTGTGCAACATCAACAAAGGAACATCTACAATTCAAGAAGCAACTTACAACTTTGCACATTAAAGCTAGATACATGAGCAGCAGAGAAATCAGATACTCTATCCTGCCTCCATTACACGTCCCATGGCCAATGCAGAGGGTACAATGAAAACCCTTTCCTTGCAGTTTTCTGATTCTGTTTATGGGTCATTTCACAATTAGAGGCCTATCCCGTGCCACAGTGTTCATTGTTGCAAACTAAGAAATATTAAAGGTAACATATAATTGTTTTCTTTTCCTAGAAACAAATACCTTCTTACTAATCTCAATGTTATAAAAAGTAAATACAGCTTGATTGTAGACATTCAATGTACGTTCAATACGCAAATGGTACTAAAATCATCATGTCCCAATAGGCAAGAAATAATCTTTCTTGGTTGGTAAATAGCTCAAGATGACTGCCAGTTTATTATTACCTAAACTTTCAAGCTGCAACTGAATCTGTATACTTATTCTTAGTTTGTCATTACCAAACGCCTGAAAACTTTGTGGCATTTTCTAAAAACAGAAATATTTTACATTCGTCTGCATGCTATGGTGTCCAATGGTCTCCAAGTTCATATGTGATCTTCTAAGAAGTACTTGTGACCTTGTGATATCATTACCGCCACAGGGCATTACCATTACAGAGTATATGTGATGGTAAAGACACATAAACATATCATACAGTAAGAAAGCAGTACTGTACTGGGAATAATAGTTTCTGTTACGTAGTCCATTTGGCCCTCTTGTTGTTAAATGAACTTATGTCAAAGACATCAGCCCACTGAGCGCATGACTGTGCTGTATGGCATGCGGCATCATCTGGATGACTGGGGCAGGTACCCAAAGGCACAGACAGATTGTTGAAATCTCCTTTAAAACAGAAATTACACCAGGCTTGCTGCAGGCTGTGCTCCAGCTTCTGGGCTTTGTGTTCCTACTTATTCGTGTTGGTAGCATTTCTCATGAAATAAAATTTGCATCTGAAATCCCCGAATGACATTCGACGTCTGTGCACGAAGGATTTCTCTAAACGGTTTCCCCACTGTTCAGTGTTTGCATTTCTTGATCTGTGTCACTCTGTACTACTTCAGTGCATTCAGAGAGAGCTACAGACCCCAATAACAAAGACAAGAGAGCACAGTCTCTGCTTTGAAGTCCACTCACTCAAAATGCGTACCTTGAGGAAAAGATGATTTCTCCTTTCCAAGTGAAATGGGTAAAGCTAAGTCATTGACAGGCAGTATAATGTTTTTCCCCAGATGAACGCTATGCAGAAGGAATACGATAATATGCCCACAACTATGACACGGGGGATGTACTTTTCCCTTGAAATATGCTTATCTGAGGACTCGGATGCGACTGTCATTCGAATGCCTTTGAAGAATATGGGACTATCACTGACTCGATGCTTGTTTTCTTAGCTAAAATTCTAGGCTAGTAGCACAAGGGATACCTTGGGAATATTGCTATTACTGTTATCGGGTGAAGAATAATCTATTTAGAACTGTGTGTTTATCATAAGAATGTTTCAAGGTTTTTTTCATTTGACCTCTGCCATCAACATGTGGCTGAAGTATGGAACATCAAAACAACATTTCAATTGACCAGTGGACCATTATCAAGCTCCCTTTCCATGTACAAATCTAAATTCTTACAAAGAGTACTCTCAGCTGTCCTTTCACTTACTGAGACCACCATGTGACACAAGAAGGTTGCACACGTCACCTCCCTTTGTTGACAGCATGGTTGCTGTTTCATTTTGTATGTTCCTGGCGTTGATATTCACCGTACCCAGCGAGAGTACATACTCCACTATGTCAATAAGCCCTCCCTCACAGGCCAGATGAAGGATGGTGTTTCTGTGATCGTCCTCTGTTAATGCATCAGCTCTTTCAGTCACCAGTAAATCAAATATTTCCTTATGTCCAAGCCTTGCTGCCACCATCAGTGGTGTCCTGCTACATTGACCTTGTTTGTTTATGTCCACCTTGCCCAGCTCGAGGACACGGCTAACAATATCCACATGTCCTCCAAGACAGGCCACATGGAGGACGTTGTCACCAGCATCATCGACTAGTGTCAGATCAGCTTCTTTATCAACCAGCAGGTCAAAGACCTTTCCATGTCCCTTGTATGCTGCTGCCATCAATGGAGTCCTGCCAGACTGTCCTCTTCCATCGATGTCTACATCATCATGTGAGATGATGTACTTCACAATCTCCTCATTCCCACCCCAACAGGCCAGTAGCAGGATGTTGTTTCCATCCTTGTCAATCTCTGATGGAAGGCCCCCTCTACTCACAAGTAAGTCAAAGATTTGCCTTTTCCCCTCCCGAGCTGCGCACATCAATGGGGTTCTCTCATCCCGCCCCTTACTGTTGATGTCTACCATGTTCTTTGAGACAACATATTTCACCATTGACACATGCCCTCCATAAAAGGCCCAGTGAAGGATACTGTTACTGGCATCATCCACAAGTTTCAGATCAGCTTCTTTTCTCACAAGCAAGTCGAGCACTTCTCTGTGTCCCCTCCTTGCTGCCCACATCACTGGTGTCATCCCACTGCGTCCTTTCTTGTTGATGACCTCCGGGCTCTGTTCCAGGATGTCTCTGACTGCCTTTAGTTTCCCCTCACTGCAGGCAACGATGAGGTCAGTGTCCACTTCAACACAAAGGACAATTGGGGGTCATATGTATCACACATCTTACAAATAAGCAACATACTATATATCAAACAGGTATATCATGCGAGTTGCATGTTATATTTATACAAATACAAATTGTTGAACGCAAATAACATCAGCACCTTATATCAGAATGGGTAAGTGAACAAATGCTATTCATCGCCCCAGTCGGCAATATTATTACCTATGCATAAAGAATCAGAGTGATAACTGTCCACAAGACTGTTTGGCAAGTCAGATAACGTCAACTTTCCAATAGTCAATGTTAATTGAGCAATATTCCAGCAGTACCAGCCTTTTGTGGCGACATTTCAAAACTTTTGAGCAATCGAGCATACTCTTTTAGGCAAGATTTCATATTGCTCAAAAGTTGTTTGATCAGGGTCAGGGGGCCACGGTGGGGCAGTATATCTGTTTGCATATCTGTTGATAGTCATTCATAAACACGTGCTTTTGATAAAGTCGAAATTGTACCATTCCATTACATTTTGAAAGAAAAGGGCTGAGAAGTTCCAGTTGTCAGTATGGGGGGAAATGCAAAGAGCTAATCAAAGTCAAAACCTTAAGTATCACATGAACGGAATATGTATTGAGCACCACTACAAACTCATTACTTGGTCATCTTTGTTCCAATTGGAATGCAATTAATTCCAGTTTGAACAGAGATGACCCAATAATGGCCTCAAATAGCAGCGGCTACAGTGAAAATCGGATTTGACTCTCTTGAACAAATTGGTCATCATTGGAGTGAATAAGTATATAAAGTTTCAGCATTGTTTCAGTGGTGTCTAAAGTGAAGGTGTTTACACTGGACCACACACCACTGGCATCGGGCAATCAGGCCTTGACGTGAGCTCACTTTCAGTCAGGTGAGCTAACGTTACATAAATACGTGTGTCTGTGTTCCTACCTCCTCCAGGGCTAAGCAGTTCTCCACTCTCCACGTCGTCCGAGGCTGAAAATGAGAGAATCTGTCTGAGAAACTGGAATAATCAACTTCAAAACCATATTCTAAACAAATGTAGTAGTAAGTCATGATTTAGTCTTTGCATGGATAGGATGGAGCAGCTTACCTGTTGAAAATTCAATTGTTCGATAACTTTCAGTCCTAGAAGATTTAGTATCTTGGTTTTATTGATTGGATTGTAAAATAGGACAACCTTCAAACTATTGGACATTTAGAATTAATCATGTTTGTTTAATAATTTGATTAAAAAACTGCAGAGCACCCATGGGGTACAACTTCAGTCAAACTAAACACAAGTACACTTTACATCTAAAATACAGATAAGACCTTTACATGTTCCTAATATATCATAATATGAGACAATAATTCAATAAATCACAGCTCATTACTACCTCCATGGTGTTACAACTAAAGCGTGGAATAAGTTCAGTTATTAACATATGTTTCTAATTTTCAATCCTATGGATTTTTGTAAACAAGAACAGAACTCTTCCCCTGGGCCTTCAAACGTCTGAGACCTGCATCACTTTAGGCTTTCCTCCCACGTCCCGTTGACATGTTCGGCGAAAACTGAAACTATGTTTACTCTCTATAGTTACTACCTCATTGTTAGCAAACAATAAAAGATGTTAGCACTCTAATGTGTGTTGGTATGTGTAATCACTGATATCTTTCAACTACTGATTTAATACTTACCCTGATTAGATCTGAAACAGAATAACACATAACATTAGTAATATGACAATCAACACAATTCATGAAATTATCATCAATCAATTCCTGTTGGGGTTACTGCTTATTATGGCACAGTTGATAATAAAGCTTGCTTTTTATTTGTGCGGCGGAAAATGGTCACAAACTATACGTCACAAGCATTCAATACTCATATCTCCCTCCAATATGATATGTCCAATTGTGTGCAAGTCATTAGCCCCTGTGAACTATGTTCACTGGAACATTTAGTAAATCGCCTAATTGCCAAACACTCAACAATTATTACTTATGTTTCTTGCCATCTGCAGTTTAAGATAGAACACGTAAACTGTATTTGTGATGAGTTGTGTTATTACTTAAACAATAATCAGAGAAGTAAGGGAGTTCTTTCTTTACTTAGAGATCAATGAGAGGTGTACTGAGAAGTACAGCACCAATGATCTGATGATCTGAGTTGTCGACTGGAATATGGAATGCCACCGCACTGGCATGATCAGTAAACAAGTCCAATTTAGCTCAAAATATTTTTCTGCACATTAAATAAATCTCAAAATTTTAGTTTTTCACTCAGATCACAGTTGAAATCCCCAGTAACTAGGACATGTTCACATTCTGATCCTGAAGTTTCTGCATGAAATCAGTAATTGAATGTGACAACCGTGTCCACAACACTTTCGGAGGAACTTCCAACAAACAATGCAGAACTTGCCAACAAGAAAGGAAATGTATTCAATACTGTGAGATGACGTTACATCAAATAGCTTGACACTGTTCTTGAAACACATACACAGCAATACCACGTGTAGTGTCTCCTGTATAGACTTGATGTCCCTGGAGGTCTCTTTCACTGTAATCATTGATGTGAGTTTCTGTGAAACACAAAACCTGAACCACCAAAAGTCACCAGTTCATCATCAGTCCTATCTATGTGCCAAGTTTGGTGAAGAAATGTTGTACGGTTTTCACGATCTGCTCCGGAAGCGTGCACTACCGCCAATTTCAGTCAAAGTCAAAGTCGTTGCCATGGAAACTCGACAAATATATTTTTTCAAAATCCCGAACTATCAAAAGGCACCAGCACACCACTAGACATACCCATGTGCCAAGTTTGGTTAAAATATCTCTCATGGTGTTTGAGACCGACGGACGGACAGACGGAAGGACGGAAAGACAGCACCCATACTTGTATCCCTCTTCCATTTCGTGGCGGGGGATAATAATGCGACTGTTTTTTCCAATGAAATCCTACTAAATCAAGTCGAACATGCCTAATATGTCCTGTAAGAATCAACGTAGTTGAAGATAATCTAGTATTGTGCCGATTCAACCAGTTTACAGACTAGGGAAGTAATATACACAGAGTGCACATACTAAAAGACGTTTATGGTGTCAAGCAGGAGAAGTAACACACACAATACGCACACACTGAAAGCCATGGTATTTGGTATCAAGCAGAAGTTATTGTCTTATCATTGAAAGGAAACCTAATCATGAATGAAATATTATCATACTTTCTGTGTCTTATGAAGAGTACAGCCATGATGATGATGATGATGAGGATGGCGAGGATGGCGAACACAGGGGCAAGTATGGCGACCAGTGTTGTTGAGGCAGATTCTTGTGACTGTTCACTTGCACCTTGTTTTTGACCATTCTCTGTAACATAATACACATGTCTCTACACTACTAAACAATGCTGGAGTTTGGAAGTGAAATACAGTCAGTAAAGTGCTGAAACTGAGCATCTTGATCCATGTGACCTTCACCCTTCACCGCTTGACCCCATGAACTACCTATTGTCCTATCATTCACACAGTATGCCTTTTGCCATGTTTATTCACAATTGTTAACTTATTTAGTTAAAATGAAAGAATTTTATGTTTTGCTGAGGATGGAAGCTTCCCCCTTGTGTGTGTATATAGCAACATTCCAGCCATATGAATATATCATTTAAATAATCTAGTTTCAACCAGACAGTGATGTGGAGTACGATGACACACAATAAGAGCTTTGATATATTGTCTCTGACACAATCAACCATTCACCGAGCCTGACCACTAAACAAATAAGATGACTCTCATGACCATTATTGCTTGGGACCTGTTCTAACCTGGAATACATATGGGGTCATTATTTTACATGTACGAACAATATTTTTGCTTTTTAAAAAAAAAATTCTCTCGCTTTAAGTAATTTAATGTTTTGTTAAATTATCAAGGCTATGTTTACTGGTTAACTGACAGGCTCGGGTTTGCTTTCCGTAAATCCCTAATGCAAAAATATTCAAAGTTTTTTAAGTTGTTTAATTCTGTCTTTAATACTATCCCATGATTCAACTAACATGAGTGGCAGTCCACCATGTGAAATGGTGGTCTATGAAACATGTGACAGCTTTGAATAAAATATGAAGTGGCCGCATTTATACAGTTCTTGTTTTAGTCATAAGTAAATGCCAGATCATAGACAGCATGCACATAATCAACAATGTTCAAATGGAGATAAAGTAAGTAAGTAACATGTTTCTCTGTGTGTCATCCATTGCCATGTGCATGTAATCTACAGTATTCCGTGTGTTATAATTACACAATACAGCTATGGCAGTGGACAATGTGCTTGGCATCTTCGGTATCCATAGCAAAGAGTGACAAGAGCTTGCCGAACACACCCGGAAAGAGCTAGCTTCCCTTGACAGGTGAAGATTAATGTTCTTGTCAGGTTGAATGGGGCGTTCAGCAACAATTGCGTCCTTATGTACATTTTTTCTTCTGGCGCATTGTACCGAACTAAAGGAAAGTTAAAATGTCTTGTCGAGGAAATAATCGAAGCAATCATGTTGAAGACCATAGTTCATAACAAAAGTCTATGGCCAATGTGACACCATATGAGTTGGGTGAGCTTTAAGTAACAAAACTCCTAACCCGTTTTTGAAACCTTGCAATGACAATAATCAATTAATTAAATGCCACTATCTGATGATTCCCAGCCCCCAGTTGTTCCTACCATGGTGGATCTCACAGAAATCCCCTGTGTTGTTTCCTTCACACGGCCGAGTACAGTGACCAGTCTGCTGACTGCAGATGTGCCGCGGGCAGTTCTTTTTACAGGGTACATGGCACTGATCGCCGTACCATCCAACCACGCAGCCTTCTGAACACTTGCCACTGTGTCTGTCACAGTGCACATCCTGGCCGGAATGGGGGAAACAGGAACGGCTGCAGTTCAGTTGACAGTGTTCTCCATATTTGCCCACGGGACACTCCTGGCCCAATACACCCACAACTGGAAGGGAGAAAAGAGTACTCTTAAACTTTTTGATGGAATAATCAATGCATTTGTCATCATGTCAAAGAAACTAGTGCCGCATTACTTTGTAGCTCACCTGAATGTTTCTGGAACATTTACTTGAGATTATCAAAAAGATAAAGACATTAAGAAGGATAAGCAAACATAAGGTAGAGAAGCTTCTATGCCAGAAAAACAACATGACTATTTCATTTTAATACATGCGTAAATCACACCGTAATTGCAAGTTACTTTTTTAACATAAACATTCCTGGGGATTTCAGGCTAGATTTGTTCCCCAGCTACCTATCCCGGCTTTAAAGGGGACTAAATGAATCAGATGGACAACCTACACTGTTGGTAGAGGGGACTTTATGTATGAACCTGACAATGTATACTGGTTACAAGAGGGGACTTAGTGGTTTGGGTGGATAACCTATGCTTTTATACCAAGTGCAAGGATCATTGCTCCTCAATTACTGGATGATCTGGTACATAGTGCTGCATTGAACAACAAACACTCAAGCTGACAGTACTTCTGCAATTACTATTTACAAATACGGGGCAGATTTCTAAGAGCCTTTGCTGGGATCATATTGTCAAATGATAAACTTCACTTGTCTTGTGGTTTCAGGGGAAATGTTGAAATGCGAAAGTTTACAAACTATGACAGGGTGGACTGACAAATGGAGTGAGTGAGTGAGTATGGTTTTACGCCGCTTTTAGCAATATTCCAGCAATATCACGGCGGGTGAGACCAGAAATGGGCTTCACACATTGTACTCATGTCGGGAATCGAACCCGGGTCCTCGGCGTGACGAGCGAACGCTTTAACCACTAGGCTACCCGACCGCCCCCTGACAAATGGAATGTTCAGGTGACAAGAAAGGGGTGTGATGTAAGTTCAGGTACAATAGAATCGAAATATGTGTACATTAACATTTTCAGTGCACTTCCAATGATATTTGCTTTCTTTTTTGACAAATTACCGTTACACGCACCTCTGAAGATAGATATGGAACTATCTATGGCCACCACTTTTAGTTCACATTTACTTAGTTCAAGTAAAAGAATAGCTATTAATTACATACCTTTCAGGACACAAACCAAACCATGAAACATTATCTATATATACATCACAAGGGCATACCTACATGTAGCTGTCAGTATTGATGTCAAACGTATAAACGTACCCAGCAGTAGCAGCATCAGGCCCCTGCCCAACATGGTCTGTGTCAGCAGCACCCCTTCTGGTAAAGACGAGAAACAAACAACTGTCATTAACGAAAGTGTCAGGCTCTGACATTGTCAGGTCAATTTACAAAGGGAGGTAATTTTAAAACTAATTGTAGAGGGTAGATTAAAGCTGTTTTTGCCATGTCAAATCATTTGGTAGGTTGTCATCCCTGCCTCTCCAACAAACACCCCGTCTCACATCAGCTTGTTGTCCCCAAGAAGCCATGGATGAGGAACACCGCCAGGTGTGTTCCCTTTTGCCTTGACGTGCTGAAATACACCATACATACAAACTAGTCATGCTTCACGTGAATCACCTATGTAAACAGTAATGGTACACAGGTGCCTTCAACAGTTTGTTTAAAATATGAACCTGAAAAATATAATGACCCATTCCGGGTTTAAATAAGAATTGGATCAAAAGCTAGTGACGAATTCATTATGTTCCTTTAAGTTATCAATTATGTTGCAAGGGGAATTATTGGAACTAATTATCTGTGTTGTCGTTTGTTAATTCTGAGCATTTTATGTCCTCTTCACATTTCACCCATTGGAAAGTGAGTGAGTCATTGACCTAGGTTTTACTACGTTTTTAGCACATTTCCTGCAATACCACCGTTCACCTAATCTGGGTATTGATTGGATTTATCTGATCATCAAACTATGTGTGTCAAGCGTCTAGCACTAAAATTGATAATGATAATTGATAAAAATACAATGACAGTTGATATCTGCTGGAAGGTATTGTCCATTAGTCCAAGAAGATCAGTTTGTGATGGTCATCGTCATGTGACCTTTGTCATTGATTGACTGTAGGTTATTGTTTTAGAAACAAGCTTGTACGAAACTTACTTCATATGAACTGATTTGATCCGTTATTAATTCGAACTACTTATACTGATAAGGAACTTTGAAATATTAAGTTTGGTAAAGTGCCATCAGTATATGTCAAAGTAATTGTCTGAAAATGTCATGTTTGGGTATGTTTCACTGACCATATTAGATATTTATCCACTTTCAGATAAAAGATAACTACATGAGGAACATACTGTACATCCAGTATCATTATGTTATTAGCGGGGATAAATATACACTCTAAAGAGATCTTTTCTTGTTCAATATCATTAAATTATTGTTAGATACAAATAACAAGTGAGGACTTCCGATGCAAATATTATGGAAGTATTTACGACAAGTAGAAGAAACAATAAGTCATGATTGTGTGTGTTCCTGATAAGTGATCAACAGCCAATACAGTTACTTGACTTAGTAGAATGGAATGTGTAACTTGTGAGCTTTGAAATGTGAGAGATTATGTAACATACATTAGAGTTACCTCCACTCGTACTCCATTACATACATCCACACCAACATACATACATACATACATACATACATACATACATACATACATACATACATACATACATCCATACATACATACATACATACATACATACATACATACATACATACATACATACATACATACATACATACATACATACATACATACATACATACATACATACATACATACATACATACATACATACATACATACATACATACATACATACATACATACATACATACATACATCCACACCAACATACATACATACATACATACATACATACATACATACATACATACATACATCCATACATACATACATACATACATACATACATACATACATACATACATACATACATACATACATACATACATACATACATACATACATACATACATACATACATACATACATCCATACATACATACATACATACATACATACATACATACATACATACATACATACATACATACATACATACATACATACATACATACATACATCCACACCAACATACATACATACATACATACATACATACATACATACATACATACATACATACATACATACATACATACATACATACATACATACATACATACATACATACATACATACATCCATACATACATACATACATACATACATACATACATACATACATACATACATACATACATACATACATACATACATACATACATACATACATACATACATACATCCACACCAACATACATACATACATACATACATACATACATACATACATACATACATACATACATACATACATACATACATACATACATACATACCAACATACATACATACATACATACATACATACATACATACATACATACATACATACACACCAACATACATACATACATACATACATACATACATACATACATACATACATACATACATACATACATACATACATACATACATACATACATACATACATACATACATACATACACACCAACATACATACATACATACATACATACATACATACATACATACATACATACATACATACATACATACATACATACATACATACACACCAACATACATACATACATACATACATACATACATACATACATACATACATACATACATACATACATACATACATACATACATACATACATACATACATACATACATACATACATACATACATACATACATACACACCAACATACATACATACATACATACATACATACATACATACATACATACATACATACATACATACATACATACATACATACATACATACATCCATCCACACCAACATACATACATACATACATACATACATACATACATACATACATACATACATACATACATACATACATACATACATACATACATACATACATACATCCATCCACACCAACATACATACATACATACATACATACATACATACATACATACATACATACATACATACATACATCCATCCACACCAACATACATACATACATACATACATACATACATACATACATACATACATACATACATCCATCCACACCAACATACATCCATCCATACATACATACATACATACATACATACATACATACATACATACATACATACATACATACATACATACATCCACACCAACATACATACATACATACATACATACATACATACATACATACATACATACATACATACATACATACATACATACATACATACATACATACATCCACACCAACATACATACATACATACATACATACATACATACATACATACATACATACATCCACACCAACATACATACATACATACATACATACATACATACATACATACATACATACATACATACATACATACATACATACATACATACATACATACATACATCCATCCACACCAACATACATACATACATACATACATACATACATACATACATACATACATACATACATACATACATCCACACCAACATACATACATACATACATACATACATACATACATACATACATCCATCCACACCAACATACATACATACATACATACATACATACATCCACACCAACATACATACATACATACATACATACATACATACATACATCCATCCACACCAACATACATACATACATACATACATACATACATACATACATCCATCCACACCAACATACATACGTACATACATACATACATCCATCCACACCAACATACATACATACATACATACATACATACATACATACATACATCCATCCACACCAACATACATACATACATACATACATACATACATACATACATCCATCCACACCAACATACATACATACATACATACATACATACATACATACATACATACATACATACATCCATCCACACCAACATACATACATACATACATACATACATACATACATACATACATACATACATACATACATACATACATCCACACCAACATACATACATACATACATACATACATACATACATACATACATACATACATACATACATACATACATACATACATACATACATCCACACCAACATACATACACACATACATACATACATACATACATACATACATACATACATACATCCACACCAACATACATACATACATACATACATACATACATACATACATACATACATACATACATACATACATACATACATACATACATACATACATCCACACCAACATACATACATACATACATACATACATACATACATACATACATACATACATACATACATACATCCACACCAACATACATACATACATACATACATACATACATACATACATACATACATACATACATACATACATACATACATACATCCACACCAACATACATACATACATACATACATACATACATACATACATACATACATCCATCCACACCAACATACATACATACATACATACATACATACATCCACACCAACATACATACATACATACATACATACATACATACATACATCCATCCACACCAACATACATACATACATACATACATACATACATACATACATACATACATCCATCCACACCAACATACATACATACATACATACATACATCCATCCACACCAACATACATACATACATACATACATACATACATACATACATCCATCCACACCAACATACATACATACATACATACATACATACATACATACATACATACATACATACATACATACATACATACATACATACATCCATCCACACCAACATACATACATACATACATACATACATACATACATACATACATACATACATACATACATACATCCATCCACACCAACATACATACATACATACATACATACATACATACATACATACATACATACATACATACATACATACATCCACACCAACATACATACATACATACATACATACATACATACATACATACATACATACATACATACATACATACATACATACATACATCCATCCACACCAACATACATACATACATACATACATACATACATACATACATACATACATACATACATACATACATACATACATACATCCATCCACACCAACATACATACATACATACATACATACATACATACATACATACATACATACATACATACATACATACATACATACATACATCCATCCACACCAACATACATACATACATACATACATACATACATACATACATACATACATACATACATACATACATACATACATACATACATACATACATACATACATCCACACCAACATACATACATACATACATACATACATACATACATACATACATACATACATACATACATACATACATACATCCACACCAACATACATCCACACCAACATACATACATACATACATACATACATACATACATACATCCATCCACACCAACATACATACATACATACATACATACATACATACATACATACATACATACATACATACATACATCCACACCAACATACATACATACATACATACATACATACATACATACATACATACATACATACATACATACATACATACATACATCCACACCAACATACATACATACATACATACATACATACATACATACATACATACATACATACATACATACATCCACACCAACATACATACATACATACATACATACATACATACATACATACATACATACATACATACATACATACATACATACATACATACATACATACATCCATCCACACCAACATACATACATACATACATACATACATACATACATACATACATACATACATACATACATACATACATACATACATACATACATACATACATCCACACCAACATACATCCACACCAACATACATACATACATACATACATACATACATACATACATACATCCATCCACACCAACATACATACATACATACATACATACATACATACATACATACATACATACATACATACATACATCCATCCACACCAACATACATCCACACCAACATACATACATACATACATACA